ACCCTGTGCTTTATCTAAGTACCAAATTCAGTACCGATGAGAGAAAATGCAGCACGATTGGACGAGAGTATGCCGGCATAATATATTCTCCAAAAAAAATTTGAGGTTGTACCTCGAAGGCCGATTTGTAATACAAACGGATCATCGACCTCTTGTATGGCAAAGTTCTCATTCAGGTGCAAATCAGAAGCTACGAAGGTTGTCTCGTATGGTATGTATCCAACCTTAGACTGCAAGATCGATTCTAGACCAGCAACCGCAAATAAAAGTGCAGATGCACTTATAAGCATAAAAGTTAGTGGAAAACGATCAAAAGTTATTTCTGAGAAGTACACAAAGTCATTTCTAGGATAGGGCCAGTTGAAGTTGTTATGAGTTAGAAATGTTTAATTTAAATTATTACCTCAAGGTTGTTAAGCAGGAGGATTCCAGGCCATTGTATTGTTATATGACATTGATCCTGACAACTATGCCGCTTGACTAAGCCAAATTGTTTTGATGAGCACTTCTTAAAAACTTATCTTGTCGGCGACATACTGTAAAGATAGAATGCCTATGATCTACATGCATGTGGGCAGTTAGGGTTAGAGCTTCCACGTAGTTTCATATAGAACTACGCGGTGAACGTTTAGGAATGTTCCTTCCAGCCAAGTCTTAATGTCAGACAAGGTCAGAATGCACCGGACAAATGGAGATTTTTCGCTTCTGGAGATAACTGTTTGCGTCGAAAACGAGTCAAACTGTGCGAGACGACAGTGCATTAAAAATGTTTCTTTGATGATTTTGGTTTTTAATAGTTTGGTTTTCATTGTATTTTAATCCAAAATTAAGGTTTTATGACTTTAACTTTGCAGTCTTGATAGTCTATGATCTTATACCACAATTAGGTCTTCAGGTGAACAGTCGAGGGGAACATACAGACAAGCCGTCAGATAAGTGAACAGTAAAATAATTTCTACTACTGATAAAATAGAAGGTGGCAAACACCACCAGCAGGGTCAAAAGGGTTAAGTTTAAGAAAACTACAATTCCCCCTATTAGTAGTTAAATTTAAAAAACTTAATATTAAGGATTAAGTTAACTAAACAAAAATACTTTGTACTTAATCCTTAGCAAATTAACTGAATTGAGTACTTTACATTTAACTAATTAATTTAAAAATAAATGAAACCCCTTTCGGAATAAGAATTAACTATTAATTATACAACTTTTCCTAGAAATGGTCAGCATTTATTTAGTTAAGTGAAAACACCTTCCAGCAGATTATTCCTTTAAAAAAATATTTTGAGGATGCAGTTCTCTTTTTGAGCTTGATACGACAAGCTCCGCAAATTAGCACACATTCATCTTTTTGACACTTAAATACTGTATGAACTGAATCTCTGTCATATCATGGTACAGTACATATCTTTCATTCTTCATTACAATTCATTCCAAAAATGTTCAATTCTATACCAAGAAAATAGAAAACCACAGATGCTGACTTTCCACTCTTGTTATTTCATAGTAAACTGCTGGAGAACTCATTGATCAAACTCTGTGATGAAGTCAAGGGCCTGCAATACTCTTGAGTATATCAACACATTCTGAACTTAACAGCATCTGTCTTTAACCTTTCATTTAAAAAAACTGACAATGAATATAAGATATCATCAACTGCATTAGCCTTCCTTTCCATTAAGAAATATTGTAGCAATACTGTTTGCAGTATAACCTTTATGAAACTCATAAAGTAAGCTATGTCTGATGTGCTCCTTATCATTTGCCAACTACACTGAATATGTCAGAGAAACTCTTCAAATGATAGTTACTTTAAAAACCCACTGCAATTATCATTCTAATGCTTCGTGATTTATCTGTCAAAAATTCCTATCACAGGTAAATTATGTGTGATATAAATAATTTAATCTCAATTTTCATCTATAAAACTGGCAAAAAGTATATGCTACTAAATTTATCATAGGTATTAGATTTAAAACAGAGTTGAAAATTTTTCAATCAACTTATTTACAGGATGTTTGAAATTGGCTTTAGTTATTGACATCCATTGTGCAAAGTAACAATGAGTGCAAAATGATGTTAAGAAGTCCAGATACAATGATTTTATAAATGGTTGACTGACCATTGTATTCAATGATGCAATTTACAGTATTGAACGAATGACAGAAATCTTCTCCTCTAAAAAAATCCTGTTATTTTTCTTTACTTGGTAGTAATGTCACGTTGAATGTAATTTCATCAAAACTGAAAACAGTAATACTTATTTAAGAAATGGAAAGAGAGAGAGAGAGAAGGAGATCATTTCTACATTTGAAACACATTTTATTTAAAAATTCAATTAAAAATTAAAATACTGTATGAAAATCCTCAGAATAAATTTTTTCACATTTACAGTTTAAACACTAGTTTACATATAAATATTCATGGTTAAGTAATGGCACATAGAGGCTTTTATATAAGTAAAACACAAGCAAACCTGAAATCTGAGTAACAGCATTATTATTTAGATTTTGCCTTTGAAGATATTTCTAGCATTGTAACCTAAACTTGTAATAGTGAACTATGAAAAATATGTCATATAATCAAATTCATAAACTTAGGAAAAAAAAAAAAAAAAAAAAAACATTTGTCTTTTGAGCAACAAGCCTAGGCACAATGGTATAAGGCAATGATAACATTTCTGGGAAATTCATAATCTAAAGTATATCATGATTAAATGAATTAATTTTTTAAAAATATTTTCCCCTTTTATTTTAAACAGACATTTCTGCAGATGTAAAATCATTCAAATTCAGATTTAGATTGACACTGGTAGCAGAAAACTTCTTTATATTTTAAGATCCCACCAGTAGGTGAGTGCTGAATGCTCTAAGTTCACCCACGGACCATTCCCAGGTGAATGGGCCAGCTGCATGTTTGGTTTTCTCCATATGTAATGTGACTAAGAAGCAGTTTCCCTTAGAAAGTCCTCTGTGAAGGATTTCCTCCTGTTAGGCAGACAGCCCTTGAGTGTTTTGCCATAATAGAAAATATCTGTATATTTCAACATAAAAGTATATAGGTCCCTTTTATTCAACAAGTAAAATTACTTGTACCATTTCAGTGGAATAAAGTTCTTAAATGGAAGAAATAAAAATAAACAAATGCTAGAAAACAAAATAATCATTATAGCACCATCTAATGAATAAAATGAAAAGTTTTTACTCTTTTCTATTCAACATAGAAACTGGAAACATTCTGGGAATTGTTTTCTATAATTATATCATATAATTTTTTGTTTAGATTTTACTCACAGATGGCATTATTTAGTGCTAATATTATTTTTTTTTTTTTCTGCTTATATGATGTATTTTTCAAAAATTGCACAAAATATTTTTGCTCCATGAAGAAGGACTTATCAATTTTGCAAAAAGAACTACAGTTTTCTATAAAAGATGAAATAGCATAGTTTTAAATCTGAAATTATGGTATTTCTTTCACATTAATTCCTGCAGATGTTATATTAAAAAGGGTGGTATTTCAACGAGATTATGACATTAAAAATGAAATGGAAAAAATCAGCAAGCTTTTGCAACTAATTTGCTGTTTATAGAATTATGAGTTATGCTAAATTTCTGTTTAAAAACTTGCTGTCAATATTAAGTATTACATAAAATTATATACAGTTCAAACTATTATTACGGTCACATTATGAACTACACTTTAAAAACATGTATTAAAAATTTTTTTGAAGTATATTTTTTTCAAAAATTCTATGACTGGGTAGATTTTTGTACAAAAATCCTGAAATTACTTTAGAAATTATAAATAAAACAGTTAAGCAACTAAAGAATATAAACTAAGAACATTTCATACAAGCTTTCGAGAAACTGAGATAAAATTCTTCACACATAAAACAAGAATAGTTATGAGATATAAAAATTAACATAATTCATAAAAGAGATTCCAGTTTTATTATTATTGTTTCTAAAAATATATTAGGAAACACAGATTACTTATGTATTAGAGAAAAAAAAATCAAGGGAAAGTTACTGTTTATCTATATTTATAAATTTCACAGCTAAACTATATAAAAATATATGATTTAAAAGTTCAGAAAGCTGAACATATTTAAGAATTTTAAATAATGTGGCAAAATAAATTACAAAAATGTGTAATATAAAACAATAGCATTCTTTGATAAATAATACAATCTAAATAAGATATTTCAATACAACTAGAAATAAATAAAATATTACTCTTAAACTTAACAGTACAAAATATTTCCCTCACAAACAGAAATGACAAAAGACAATTTTACCCGTAAAATAAAAATCATAAATTTTCAGTTAAACATATTTATATTGAAATTAGATACATCACATTTTTCTTATTTAAAAAAACCATTATGGTAATCACATGAGAAGGAAAATAATGCAAAGCGAAAGACTAAATTAATACATATCAAGAAATTAATTGCTAAGGTATATTTTCAAACATATAATGTAAAAATACTGTTTAAAAGAATTGAAAAGTAGTATACCATAGCCAACATTACTTCATAATCAACAATTCCTTGTACAGAATATGTTTCTTTATAAATGTTAATCGCATAAATTTTATTACTTCAAAACCATTATTAATAGTTTTTTGGTCAATGCAGCTCTATGGTTAATTGATTTTAATACATAATGTGAATACATATTAAATGAAATACATAAGGTAGAGAAACAGTTATATGGAAATGTATCTTATATGATGAAACAAAGTATGAAAATGTAACCAGCTACCTTAAAATTAAGATACCTTAAGATATTCACAAAGAAGACCTCAGAGTTAGCAAATTTTGAGGAAAAATTCTTTAAATAAATTTTAATCACTTCTGAATACCCTAACATAATTCTTTGCATATGACAATGGCTTTTAATGGCTGATCTGGCTTTAAGTTTAATGGCTGATCCTTAATAAGAATTCATCATTCTGCAACAAGAATACTATATGCCCTTTAGCAACTCTCCAGATTTTTTTTTTTTTTTTTTAATGGTGACTTTTGAATAAAGGCTTCATAAAGTACATTTGCTTTCAAATATAACTGATTTAAACTGAAGTTAAATGGTACGGTCATATCATATTTGGAGAGGCAAACACATGCATTTCTTCATGTAAAGAAGAATCATGGATCATTAGTAGTTTAACCTAGATTTGAATCTTAGGGAAGAGGGTATTTCCCATATGGATAATAAGACAACGAGCCAACAACCTTTAGAATGCTTTTCACAAAGAATTCTCTCTTCTTACATTCATAGCTTTTGCATGTTTTGCGATATTTAATTAAGCAAAGAATTATCTGAAGCAAACAAATAAATATTCACTTCTTTATTTAATACAAAAATTAAATAAATGTTTGCATATTTTAGTTAAATAAATTTTAAGATAACTTTTACATGACTGTGCTGTAACTGTTACTGCAATTTTCATAATGATCATTTGCATCCAATGTGATTTATCCTTTAAAAATGAGGAGGGAACCTTTATTGATAATTACAAAATCAACAGCAAATTTTTCAAAATCTGCTTAATCAATCTGTGTTTGCTGGATAATTATTTTAATCAATTAACTTTTATCAAATAAACAGGTGAAATAAATTTTTATTATCTTAAGCTTGAAGTTTTTTTCAGTATTTTTAGGAAACATTCATGTCATCAATTTACCACTGTTACTTCAAATTGGGTTAAAATTTCTCTCAATCTCATTTTTGGAATTCATAGAAAAGTTACAGTAAAAAATTATTAATTAAAAATCAGCTCCGTAAAATTATTATAGAGGCATGTCTTTAACTCATATTTATATAATTTAATTATTTACTACAATTTCTTTCTTTCATTATTAAATTAGTTTTTAATCTTTCCAAGAAAGTTTAGCACCCTTCCCAATTATCCATCTGAGGCAACTGCCTCACCCTTTTCCAAACCCTGCCTGCAAAAAATATAAATTCAAAACCAGTCATGATTATGGGTAATATAAAACATACAAAGTATTTAATTTCACCTGGTGGCAGCCAATGTGACACATTATTATTTTAAAAGTTAAACCCTAAATTTATCCATTTCGCTTTATTTGAAAAACCATTAAAAAAAAAAAAAAAAAAACTTCCATTCCTTGTTTACGTTTTTTTAAATGTGTTTAGTATAATAAATGACAGAAAAAAATTTTTTTTGCTCCTTACATAACTTGAAATAAATTTTGATGAAAACTCAGTCAGTAAATCCAGTTCTAAACTATTTAATAATAATAATAGTAAAAATTCTTATAACAAGTCCTCTCATATTCTTTTCAGCAATGCCTTGGACAAAAGTGTTGAGATCCACAAAAAACTTTGGTTTAGTTCAGCAATGCTAAACCATCCATTTTATCACAGAGCAAACATTTGGAGTTCAATAATGAATTACACAAGTCCTGCCTCTTTAGCCATTGAATAAAACATAGAGTCTTCCTTCTTCAGAAGATTTTCAGGTCTGTCCATTTCTACTATTTCTCCTTTGCTTAACACAATGACCCTAAGAAATTAGAATTCATTAAGTTCATGCATTTGTAGAGATATTACAAGGTGCGGCTATTAATTTCCAGGACTGATCTAATAACTCCAGGATATATCATACGAAATACATATCCATTTAGTATGTTTTGAAGTAACTCCCACCTGACTGTGCTCAGCACTTCTGTACTCTGCTGTATAAGTTTTGAAAACAACTTTAAAGTCCTTTTTTGGAATGTTCTTGAATGCGGATGTCACCATTTTATTGATGGCTTTGACATCCTCAAATATTGTTTCTTTCAGCAATTTTTTTCAGTTTTGAACACAAGAAAAAAAATCTGCCAGTGTTAAGTAGTCTAGTGAGTATGGGGGATGCTGCATCTCCATGACCACATGGTGGGCCCAAAACCGTTTCACTGGTAATGCAATGCAAGACCAAGCATTGTCATGCAAAAGCAGCCAATCTTGTCAGGGGAACAAATTCATGATAAATTAGTCCTTTTCTATCAAAGAAAGAGATAAACATTACCTTGATTACGGACTTTCGGATTTTTTTTTTTTTTTTTTTGTCTTGGTGAGCTTGGAGGTCACCACTGGGAGCACTGTTGTTTGCTTTCAAGGTCATTTTGGCAATACCAAGACTTGTCTCTCATTACTATTGAATCAAGGAATTCAAATCTAGCATCAGCATTGTTGATAAGCTCACTGAATGAATCCATTCTAAACAGCTTTCATTCCTACGATAAATGATGAGGAACGGATCTGGAACAAACCTTGCATTTCCCTAGGTCTTATGTCAAAATCTGCCAAACAGCCTACTTGGAAGTGTTCAGTTCACTGGCAAGTACTTGAATAGTTAATCAGCAATCCAAAGTCCAAGCTCACAAACTTTCTTAATTTCTTCTGTCATGCAAACGGAATGCGATCGTCCAGCGTGCACGCTATCTTCAGCACTTTTGGAGCCGTTTTAAAAGGAGATAAGTCATTCAAAAGAGCGTAAACGGCATAACGCTTCTTCTCTGTACACTTGTTTCAACAATCCACGGGTTACTGTGGCAGTTTTATGTTTCAATGCATGTTTCAAGGACAACCACTTGCTCCCAAATGAAGCCCACTTTGCAGATAAATCCAAAAAGACACATTAACGAGCTTTGACGATTTACAGTTCTTGTACAGTTAGAAATTAATGGTCGCACCTTGCATAATGATGTTTTTACTATTACTGTGCTAAATAAAAAGAAAGCAAACCTGACCTTATATGGTTACATAAAATTTTACAGAATGAAACCAGAAGTAGATCTGCAGCAAACATTTGATTAATTATATTACCAGCAATGAAAACTTAAATCAGTCAAATTTCAAGTATGTCAAAACTTTTAGAAATTTTACTAAACTCAGATAAAATATTCTCAGACAACACACACACACACACACACACACACACACAAAAAAAAAAAAAAAAAAAAAAAAAAGTACAAAAGGGACAAAGCTAACACATACAAAATTTAAGTACACTGTAACTGAAAAGGGATAAAGTTATGTCAATAAAAAAGGATTAAAACATTAAATCTTATTTGGGATAACTGTAATAACACATGGAGGGGTTAAAATACAAGTGATATGAATAGGTGATTAAAACAAGTAAAAGAAAACAGCCATTTAATTAAAAATACATTAAATCAAATGGTAAATTCTCATCTTTCTGGAAATAAGTGAGAGATACTAAAATTGGGATTTTTCCTGATTAATGTCAATAAAGTTAAATTTGAAGTATTAAAATATCTCTGACAAGTTAAAACTTGAACACTCAATTAAAATATTTTGTATGGATAGCAGATTTACAACTTGTAGAAAGAAGAGCACTATTACCTTTTAACAAATTGTGACCCTAGAGTGACACACTGGATGAATTATAATAAATGATGAATTTTTGTGAATGCTGTTTGGATATAAAAGATAATGCACAATAAATAGCCTTTAAATTCTGAATTGAATATAAAGCAAATCTGAGGGGTCTGAAATCTGACAACTTAACTTTGAGTCACAAAGGTTGCACTAGCATAGTGCCCAGCCTTCAAACCACCTGGTATACAGACAGGGTTTTGGGGTATACTTACTATACTCACTTCTATGTTCAACAAAGAGTTGGCTGTAAATAACCACATTTGTATTATTTTTGTTAAACTGACTGAACAAGTCAAGATAGACTGATGTATCATACAAGGAGGAATTTCAAAATGACTGACCCTTTGAACACTGATACTGGATATGCAGTATTCCTCAAGCAGAGAATGAATCCTTAATGGAAAAGAAGGCACACCTAGGGGATGCACTCAGAATAGTACATTATATGAATTATCTAGCATTGGAATTCCAGCAAGATGGTTAGGTCATGTCATTACATTAACCATTTGACACCCTGAAACTACCAATTTTCGAATTTTTTTCTCCTCTTCCTTCCGAAATTTTTGAGTGAAAATCAATTGATTACTGATCTTTTGCCTCTAAATAACACAAAATGACTGCAGAATCATACATGTTTTAGGTCTTAGCACTTCAAATCAGATGCCTTTTAAAATTCGTTTTTAATGAGACAAAATAACTTCCTTTTATTAATATAAACAACTTTAAATTTCAAAAGTATTCATCGCACATCATGACTTCTATCATAAGCAATAAAAAATAGCAATAATTAAACTGCATATATATAAAAAAAAACCCTCTATATGTATGGCATTTGCTTTATGGTTTCAGGGCACAACCACTGCACCACTAGAGTATTGTGTCACAATGCTCTTGAGGCTCGGTGGTCGCAACTTGAAACCACTGCTCTTCACAATGGTGTTTGCTTGCTTCTCAAATAGGAATGTTTATTTTTACCTGGATATAGATAAGGGGTTTGGAAACCACAGAGTTATTTTATTACTAAACAATACATGCACCTGCCCAGTAAAAAGGTCTTTCTTTTTCCAGAGACTTTTCTCTGACCTCCAACAAACTTGCTCCCCAAGCTAGTATTGTGATTTGATAAACTATTTCTTGTGGTTTAAATTTAATGCACACTGCTCGACATTGAAAATGCAACACCAAGAAGGAGTGGTCAGAAATTTATGCAAATTTTAGAGTAGACTCATGTCACTGAGTTATACGAATGATGTTAAATGCCCAGCTCTCCGGCACACGTGAAGTAAGATATAAGGGAAGGAACGTGCAGAATGGGCAACATTCGTGTCATTATTTCTGCCAGACGAATTATCAAAGAATGCTGGTTTTTGTCCCGGAGGATATGTGTAATAGGAGAGAATGCCAGGCCGCTGTCAACGAAGACACTTCCAGCAAATAGACAATTTTACGAGGAGTACGGTGATTGGACTGAGAAGGGCGGGTTGGTCCTTACGTCAAATCGCAGCTGATACCCACATGGATGCGAGCACGGTGCATCGGATATGGCGAACATGATTGGAAAAAGGAAATGTGGCAAGCACGAAAGTGCGGGTGCAGCCAGAGTGACGTCAGCACGTGTGGATCGACACATCCGCCGACAAGCTGTGGCGGTCCCGCAAGTCACTTGTACCAAGATTCTGCAGCATGTGCAAGATACCCTGGATGTACCCGTGTCGACCAGAACCATTTCCCATCGATTGGTTGAACATGGTCTGCACTCACGGCGTCCGTTAAGAAGACTGCCATTGACCCCCACAGCATAGACAGCAACGTTTAGAATGGTGCTGGACTGGAGCGATGTGGATGACAGAATGGCGAAACGTCGTGTTCTCAGATGGGTCACATTTCTTCGCCGCATATGTGTGTGGTGTCGACGTGGAGACAGATCTAATACAGCAGAAACTGTGGAATGCCCCACCGTGCGACAACGTGGCATAATGGTTTGGGACGCTATGGCCTACGATTTCAGGTCACCCCTAGTTCGTATTCAGGGCACTATGACGGCTCAACGATACTTGGATAAAAATTTTTACAAAAATGCCTACTTGTAATTGCAGTGTATAAGAAACAGGTCCTACTTCTACAGAACAAAGTAAAATAATGAATTGTTTCAAGTGTAAACATGATGTCAGCTTCTACTGGCAGTTACTAACATTTGATTGGTTCTCAGAACAACAACAGTGATTGGCCAGGAAAGCTAGACATTACAAACCACTTCATAACTGTGTTTTTTATTTATATTAAAGTACATGTAACTTTTTTTGTATTGCAAATAATTGAATTTTGTGTTTTGTATTGAATTCAGTAATAAATTCTCTTTAAAATGATATATACAAGTTTGCATTTTGCGAAACGTAACATTTTTCTATAAGCATACAAAGTTCAAAAACATAAAAATTTCCAAAAGTGTCCACAATTTTGGCCACCACTGTATATTATCCCATCACATAATAAATATAATACTTTGCCATTTTATTCTATGACAAATTAATTCATGCTCTATTCTGCTTTAAAGGTCTTTTGAGGTCTACTTTTCTCTTCTTATCTAGTCTTGAAATAGCAACAGTGGGTAATAAATAAAATTTAAAAAATAAATAAATAAATAAATAAAAAAAGGAATTTAACATCATAGAGTATTGTGATAGGCAATGCCATATGCACTGCTAAAGCAACTGGAAACACTTGTTCTACAGCAATGGTATTACAGCACGTAATTTGAATTATGTTTAAATTTTTACATAAAAGTCAGTATTCATCCATGGGCCACATTAAGAACAAAAAGCATGCCAAAATTAGCCTACAGGTCACAGTTTGTTGGCCTTTTCTCTAATTATTGAGATGAAATATAAACATCAATTATCTCAAATAATGAAAAAAAAAATATCATTTGTGTTTGTTGTCTTAAATGGCTGGACACTTGCAACTTAATACATTCATCAGGAATGGCCATTACCCATCTGTTATTTAACAGTCTTATCACTGAGAATGTCACCCAAAATGCAACACAGGGGGCACCTGATTTTTCACAAACAAGACCGGAAAAATTTCATTTCAATTTTAACAGAGAACAACCATGGAAACACAGCCCACAACAATTTAAAGGCATACAATCTGTCTAAAAAAGAAACTAAATTCCTGTTTCCTGAAATTAGCAGCTCCATATGAAATCTAAAGTGTGATAGTTAATCAGACTTTAATGCTTTAATCTTAAAATTTTGGCACACACACACACACACCTTTAAAAAAAAAAAAAAAAAAAAAAAAAAAAAAAAAAAAAAAAAAAATGTTGCATAAAATGTAGGCCAAAAGAAATACACAAATTGGCCTATTACTGGTAAATCAGAACAGAGCAAAGCATCAGTATTACAATTTATTTTAAACTTGATAAAATTTATAAAGTATTTGTACTGATATACCCAGTTTATGTCTATAGCACAGACAAGTCTTCTTGTGGTTCAGACATTACAAAGGTAAGACAAGAGACATTAATAAAAATTCAAAGTCAAGCCATCTAAAGACTGAAATCATCTAAACACTGATAAAAAAATGCATGGAAATTATAGCTGCCAATCAGAAATGCCAAATAATGAATGCTTGCAAAAGAATTTAGCATGTCCAATATTTAAATTCACAACACGTTGGCATAAAATTTAATGAAAGGAAGATTTGAACTTGATATGTTATGAACAAACTAACTAAAGACTAACAAAAGACATTCTTGAAATGAAAAGGTAAAGATCAAAATTCTTATATTCTATCACCGTGATGATGACATTGCATCATCGACCTTCAACGTCATCAAATACATACACATACAAGGAAAGAGAATTAAATATCTAGAATTTATGAATAAAAAAGAAAGGATAGATCTAAATATTTTGGCATAATGTCGATATGATCTGTACTTTCTGTATTTGCATATATCACAGAATACAAAGTATGCCACTAAATTCATTGGAAACTAAGTTTCACTGAAACTCAAATAAAAAATTTGTTAGATTATAACTCTTTGTATTCAAAGCATCATAAAAATGACTTACTTATCATAGTCCATGATTGTGTTAAGCCTGTGTGCTATTGTTAATACTGTGCAATCATTGAATTTTGTACGTATGGTGGACTGTATGAGCTCATCTGTTTCTACATCCACTGCTGCTGTGGCCTCATCCAGAACTAAAACCCTAGATTTCCTGAGCAAAGCTCTGGCCAAGCATACTAGTTGTCTCTGTCCAACACTATAAAGATAAACAGATGTTATTAAAAAAATTAAGCAACAAGGAAAAATATAAATTCTTTATTTCCCTTTTTAAATAAAAATAGCCATAATTACTAATTTAAGGGGGGAGTCGGGTTTCAGATTTTAATGGTCCCCCAAAAGCATTTTGATGCTCTTTTCTTCACACTTAAGCCATATACAATTCAACAGCAGAATTACAAAAATTAATAAAAAGCATAACAGCATGTTTAAAATTTCTGATGCAATGTTAAGTGTTGGCATACATTTTTCAATTCTTTTTGTCTTTTCTTAGTTTATTATATCAATGTTCAGTTTTCTTAGTAAGACAGCTTCTAAAACTTTGTTTTTAATTATTAACTTTATTTATTAAATGTCAAATTCTCTGCGCTTATACCAGATGAAATTACATTCAACAGCAGAATCAATAAATATTTTAAAGACAGTGTATTAAATTAAAAATTCGGTCTTCCAGGTGCACATGTTCAGTGGAGGACTATGTTACTCAAAATTAGATGGCTGTATATGTCGTCGTTTTCACATAATGTGAGAAATACATGGTGGCTGCAATTTGAAAACTGATACAGCCTTTTTTAGATATTCAATGCAAAATCTCGTTTCAAGACCAACAGCCCATCTTTTTTTTTTTTTTTTTTTAGGCTAAATTTTTCATTGTTGAATAGATCTATAGTTTAATAAGAATTCCAATTTTAGGAGCATTTGTTATTTCTTTTTTGAAAGGGAGAGGAACTGTTTTGTTCATTAAATGTAAAATCACTTAAACAAAAAATAATAATAATAATAATAATAACAAAAATTTAGAAGTTATTTAAAAATTTATGATAATAACAACTTCAATTTAGAAGGTGAGGTGTAATATATATCTTACATATCATTTATGATAAGAAAGTATATGTAAAATGAAATTTTGATTTTAATTTACAGTATTCCCTAAAGTCTCTTTTGCAATTTGGTAATTTTCCATTTCTATCCTAAAAACAGTAACTGACTTACAATAAAAAAATCTCTCTGGACTGGGCCATTTCAAATTTAAACCCTATAATGAGATTCTTATAAAATGCCATGAGGCATGTACTTCATGGCAAAAGGTCTTTTAGCCAATTATAATATTAAATTTTGAGAACCAAAATCTTAAATAATTAATATGGATGTTAGTAAAGAGACATTTTGGACAAATATTAACATTCAATACTTTTCAAGATGTCTTGTTGTTAGACTATCAATAATAATTTTACTAAATGTAATGCAGAATCCAGTTTTAGAATTAATCAGGAATACTTATCAATTTCTATTAAAGGTGTGGTATGAAACTGAAACAAAATTTTCAAATTAAATCTTTTCAGAGTTATATGCTAAGCAATTTTCTTTTAAAATATACCAGTCTTCTACATTAAGTATTTCCACATATAGTATGATATGGTTTTACATTTCAGAAAATCTGAGAAGATATTCTATTTTTTGTTTTCAGAAATTTCTTTTGAACTGCAATGATAGTCATTTTATAATACATAAATCTTTAATGGAATGAAAACCAGGGTAGATATTTTTTTCTTAGCTAAAACTGATGTTATGATAAATAATTTCAAATTTATTTTCTGCGATTTTACAGGATTTAACCACAGTAAGCATTTACAATTATAAAAAATTTATGATTATCACAAATTAAATTTAGCAGTAGAATAATGTAACCATAAACAAGGCAAAATCAAGTTATCACTTAACCGAGCTCACAATGAAAACTAATAACATATTAAAAGCGGTGGGAAAAAAATCTGAAGTTCAGGAACATTGTTTTGTTTTTCCAATTCCTATTTCAAAAAGCCAACAGCATACAAAGGGTCTGCTGATTTTCTTCTCTCTTGCTGCATCTTTTTTCCCCAAAAAGTTTTGGTTTGCAAAATTTAATATTATTATTGACTAAATCACAAGTATGTGCAGCAGCAGCGCCAAACAGGCGATACGGACTTAAAAACTGTACAGAAAAGTGCCAATCGGCGAAACAGTAAACCCGTTTGGCAAACCTACAGGCTGACGGGGAGAGAAGAATTTTCCCGCGGCAGTCAAGTGGAACTACTTCAACAAATGTGTGCGTCTCTGTTTCGCCGAGATATGTGAACTTGTGTACTCGCATCTGTACTGTGCTCTGAATTTCTTAAGCCGTTATAATGTACCCGGCAACTGTTACTTTTCCTTATTAAATTTGATTATTAATTGTAACATGTCTATCTTAACTAAGATTTCGGCTTTCCTAGTTAATGTTAGGGATATTTTCGTATGCACGTGTTACTCACACGTACATCATTGGTGACCCTGTCCCTCGCTCCTTCTGTTTCGATCCCTAATGACTATCTGTCTCAATCTTTGTTAAAAAACTAAAAATATGCCTTATTTTGATGCCAATGCTCTTCCTTATGACTGATAAAGGCTCCACCCTATTCATTTCCTCCTCATTTTATCGTACGGATTACACGTGGTTTATCACACTTAAGGAGGATTTACAGGTATGTGGTCAAATTTTTTTAATTATCTGTGATTGGTCTTAATTATGTTTTTGTGATATGTTTTGCTCTAAAATTATAGTTTTAATTTAATTATTGATTGTTTAAAATTGATCTTTGAGTATATTTTGTGCTCACACTTTTATTGAGATATTGAATGTCTTCGTTATTTTATTCTAAATTGATACTGTTTTGATAAGGTATAGTGCAAAACATTAAGTTTACGATTTACGATATATTTATAATTGGCAACCATGCCAGGATCGGAAGGCCAAACCAACGAGGAATCGAATATGGCGGTTCAGGAGCCACAAATCTCACACGTGGCAGTTAAAATTCCCCCTTTATGGAAAAAAAAATGTTAAACTTTGGTTTATTCAAGTTGAAAGTAACTTTGCTTTAGCGAAGATTAGTAGCGATAGTACAAAATACAACCACGTGGTTTCTTCGATAGACCCTGAAACTCTTTCCGCAGTATCAGATATTTTATTTAATCCCCCAGCGACGGCTAAATATGATGCCCTTAAAGCTAGGTTAATAGGAGAATTCTCAGATTCGGAAAGCGAGCAAATACGCAGACTTATTTCTGAATTGCATTTAGGGGACGACACAAACCATCTCACTTATTGAGAAAAATGAGAGAATTAGGTGGAGGAAACTGTATAACTGACGAATTTTTAAAATCATTATGGCTGCAAAGGTTACCTTCCGAGGTGCATGCCATTTTATCAATAAGTTTGGAATCCTTAGACAATTTAGCAAAAATGGCTGATAAGATAGCTGAAGTGCGCACGCCAACGAACAACAGCGTGTTCGCGGTCCAGGCAGCTTCGGCCAGTTCCCCCAGAAACCCTAACGATTCTGGTGCCCCCCTCGAGGAGCTTAAGGCCTTAAGGAGTGAAATCTCTGCCCTAAGTAAACAAGTCGAGCGACTCTCCCGCGGAAAAAAAACGAGGAATAATTTCCCCCGGGATCAACATAACAAAGCACGTAGTTTTTCGCGTGGGCATTCCCGAGAGCGTGTGAACAATTATTGTTATTTTCATTCGCGATTCGGTAGTAATAATGCACGAAAATGTCGAGCACCTTGTTCCTTTTCTCAGAACACTACGGCCCAGGAAAACTAGTAGTAGCGGCTATCGATCGAAATTCATCGGCAGTCGCGCATTCATGTCGTTTACATGTTTACGATAACAGATTAAATTTAAACTTTTTGATTGATTCGGGCTCGGATGTTTCATATGTGACACCGACTTCTAAGTTTAGGAAAATGCATCCTGATTCGCTTCAATTATTTGCCGCGAATAATTCCAGAATTTCTACGTATGGAACAAAATTGTTAACTGTGAATTTAGGACTTAGGACTTAGACGAAACTTTTCTTGGAAGTTTTTAATCACCGATGTACCAGTGCCTATAATAGGAGCCGACTTTTTAAGGCATTTTGATCTTTTAATCGATTTAAAACGAGGTAGGCTTATCGATAATACTACGAAATTAACTCGTATTGGTTCTCTTTCCGATTCTAAAAATTATTTTTCGGTAAAGTTAATATCTGGTGATTCACCATATCACAGAATCTTGAAAGACTTTCCTAAAGTACTGAAGTTAAAATCCGATTCGTGTAGAGAGTAAAACATAGTACGGTTCATTACATCGAAACATACGGTCCTCCTGTGCACAGTAGTAAACTGCGTAGGTTAAGCCCTAAGTTATACGAAGCAGTAAAAAAAGAATTTCAATTTATGATAGATCAAGGTATTTGTAGACCATCAAAATCAGCATGGTCATCACCTCTTCATGTAGTTTCTAAAAGTTCGGGCGACATACGGCCAGTAGGAGACTACCGAAAACTAAACGCGTGCACCGAACCCGACAGATACCCTATCCCGCATTTACAAGACTTTAATAATACGCTTAGCGGAAAGACAATTTTTTCAAAAATTGATATCGTTCGGGCATATCATCATATACCAGTCCATCCAGATCATCATATACCGAAAACTGCAGTTTGCACCCCATTTGGTCTTTTCGAATTTCCGTTTTTAAATTTCGGACTGTGCGGAGCAGCTCAAACCTTTCAAAGGTTTATGAACGAAATTCTTGGAGATCTAAAATTCGCCTACGTCTACTTAGATGATATTTTGATATTTAGTCATACGGAAGATGAGCATAAATCTCACCTACGTACTGTTTTTGAAAGATTAACTTCATATGGATTGACAATTAACGCTTCGAAATGTGTTTTCGGCGTTCCGGAAATATCTTTTTAGGCCATATAATCAATAAAGATGGTACCAAGCCTCTGACGAACAAAGTGGAACCGATACTTAACTACCCACTTCCTAAAACGGTAAAAGATTTGCAGAGATTTTTAGGATTTTTAAATTTTTACCGTCGATTTTTACCCAACGTAGCCCAGAATCAAATACATTTAACTTCGTATTTAAAAGGGGCTAAGAAAAATGATAAGACAATCCTGA